CATCGGGCTCCCTGCTCAGCAGGGAGTCTGCTTCTCCCTCTGACCCTCCCCCCTCTCATGTGCGCTCTCTCATTCTCTCTCTCTCAAATAAATCAATAAAATCTTAAAAAAAAAAAAATAGCCTATCCCTTCTGTGAATTAGCTTGATTGTGTAAACATCGCACAAGATATACATATATCAGAACATCACACCGTACACATTAAATATATACAACTTTTATTTATCAGTTTGTATCTCAATAAAGCTGGGTGACAAAACAATGCTCCAGCCCCAAACAACACCCTCCATCTGCAAAGTGTTCCTGGCTGGATTGGCCCACACTCCCCTCTACCTCCATTTTCTCCCTCGGAGATAAAAATGGCATATTAACTCTATTAATTCCTATTAATACCTTCACCTCTCAATTCCTTCAACTCCTGTCCTTCTGGTGTCTTCTCCACCACCTTTTCCTCAGCTAATCACGCCCCACCGCCAATGGTCAGACCCTGAGACCGTGTCACTAACAAGAACTGAAATCATTCCATCATCTCACTTGCAAATATCCCAGCCAGCCCCAGCTCATTCCCTCCGTAAGGCCAATAAACCTCATGCCCCACTAAGACCTGCGATGTATGAATTTGAAAATCGCCACACTGTCGTTCACCGTCTTCCTATCTCGAGCTCGCAACTCCCTCGGCCCTCACTCACTCGGCTGTTCTCGAGTCACAAAGCCCCAATGCCGGCCAAGTGCAAGTGAGCGCCCACGCTGACTGGCCTCCGCTCAACTCTCTGGTCGCTAGCGCACGCCAGCCCTATGCCACCCAGCCCTCGTACCCCCTTCTCCTCAGCCTCCCCCTCTTTCACTCGTCCAAACTGTTCTGCGTATCTTCTTGTATCCCTTCAGGGCCCCACAAACTCTCCCCTCGGCTCTTCTCTCAACTCATCACCTTGCTGTCGCTCACTGAGAAAAGAGAAACCATCAGAAGCCTGTGCACCACGCCCTGATACCACACCGGCCCACTCACCTGGAGCTGGGCCCCTGCGCCCTGCTCTCTCCGCTGCAGGGGCCAGTCCCTAGTCCTCTCACTTGTGCGCCAGGCCACGACACGGCTGCACAATGTTCCCCTGCCTTTCACACGTTCTTACTTCCTTGTTCGCATTCCCGACGGCATACGAACATGCAATAGTATGTCCCACCTTACAAGTTTTAAAAAAACAAGTATTATTTTTACCTACTTCCTTCCTACTGATCCATGTCTCTTTACAACAAAATCCCTCACAAGAGGTGACCACACTCACTCTCTCCAATCTCCTTCTCACTGTTTCTGGAGCACATTCCAGTTGGCGGCCGCTAACTGAAACTGCTTTCTTAACCTCACAGTGAGCTCCCTGCTGCCGGAGCCGACAGTCAGCCCCCAGGCCCCATCCACCTGTGCGCACCACTGCCCTGAAACGCAGCCTTCTGCTCATCTTCACACTCTGCTGGTTTCTCCCCCGCTTCCCCACAGCAGCCCCTTCTCTGTATCCTTTGCGGATCCCTCGTCTTCACGTCAACCTCTTCATGCTGAACAAGAGCCCAAGACTTCAGTCCTTGACTCTCTCCACCTTGTAGTCAACGCTCATTCCTTGGTGGCATCATTCATTCTCAGAGCTGTAAATACCACCCATACTCTGACAATTCCCAGTGTTTTATCCTGGATGCCTGACCCTTCTTTCCCCTGAACTCCAGACTCCTATACCCAGATGCCTTCTCCGTCCTGCAGCCTGGAGGTCTGACGTCTCGTAAAGAACACATCTAAAACTGCAAGCCTCATATCCTCCTCTCAAAACGCTCTTCTCAGTTTTCCTGTTCTCCGTACTCCATCCTTCCAGGGACTCAAGCCAACATCCTTGGCAGTATCCTTGCATCCTCACCTCCTTTTACATCTTAGTACAATCTGTCAGCAAATTCGGTTATTTCTACAGTAAAACGTATTCAGAATCCAACCACTTCCCACCGCCTCTCCTCCTCCATCCCTAATGCACACCATCCTTCTCTCTCACCGGATTACTGCAACAGCTTTGTAACTAATTCTACCCTTGCCTTTGAGAGTCTATTCCCAACCCGGAAGCCAAAGTAACCCCATTAAAACATTACAACGGTGTGTCAAAAGCCTCCAAAGGCTCCCTCACCTGTTTCCAGGAAAAGCTAAACTCCTTAGAATGGCTCACAAAGCCCCATCCTAACTGCTGTCCTCTTACTTCCCTGACCTCATCTCCAACTACTCTCCCTCTGAATCACTCTAACAGCTGACTGGGCTTCCGGCTGACCCTCAGAATCACCAGGCACGCTGTGGGCTCAGGATCTCCCTGAAGGAGACGTTCCCCCAGCGACCCCCCAAAACCTCGTAAACCCCATGAGGGCAAGGACTTCCATATGCTTTTTCTCTGCTATAACCCCAACAGATAGAACAGTGGCACATATTAGAGACCCGATAATTACTTCTTAATGAAGCCTCTCGTTCGTGTGGCCTCTTAAGACTGGAATAATTTTCCTGTCCTTTATCTACCTGCTGAAATCTAACTAACCTATCATCTCATCTGTAAAACCTTATCTCTTATCTCAAATTACAGTCCTCCCTCTGACTCACGATAGGCAATAGTCTGTACTTCTTTACGCAAAAACGAAGAAATGAATGATCGAGAATATAAATATTATTCAAAGAAATAATCCTGAAAAGTATTATTTATCAAACAAAGCAATGGCAGAGGCTTCCACTTAAGATGGTTCAATGAGTTCACACTTCAAACACATCCCCCTCCCAACACTTAGCACCACAATGATAGATATCCTTTAAAAGATTTAATTTTTTTTAATTTAAGAAAATGGCTAAAATTATTGCTACGATGTTTTTATCACAGGCTAGCTAACGAAATGAATAAAATTTTAAAAGTACAATAAGTACCTCTGTAGTCCTTAAGAACATGAAGTTCTACACTCGACTAAAATGTCATATAAGAGCATAAAGAAAAGAGAGAGGTTTTCAAACATGTATATTCAGTGCCACAATTAAGGTAATGTAATAACAAACACCAAAGCAAAGTCAGGAAAACCTGTAACTTCAAAAAGAAAGTATGCTATTTTTCATTTCCATACTTAAATGTTAAACTTACTTTCCTCATGCTGCTATCTGACCAACCCTCCATCCACAACACCTGGCATTTCTTATGCAAAGCTGGATTACTCTCACAGTTTATTATGAAGTTTAAATTTGCAGAATCCATTATCAAGACGATATGCAAGTTTTGTTGAATTCCTAAAAAAATATAAGAAAATTACCATGGACATTACAACAATAATAACTGGGGAAATCTATATATGGTCTTTTATGAGTTTAAAATTTTCTAAAATGAAATAGTAGGAGCCATTAAGCAATATTACAGTTATGATTTTTATTTTTGTTAAAAAATACTTGTGTGTGTGTTTGTGTGTGCATGCTAAGAGAAAAGATGCAGAAGGAGTTCGGGAAGAAGGCAAGTGTATGTACCAGATTGCTGTCTGGATGTTACTTTTCAAATGTGAAACTGGATTCTACTTTACAATTTTTCTTTCAAGGATTTTCGTTTCAATATTCACAAGCAAATTGATCTCCAATTTTCTTTCAGGAGAAATATATTTTTCCTGTTTCATCAATATTGTTTTCCCTTCATGAAAGGGAATTTGGAAACTTTGCTTCATTATCCATGTTCTGAAACTGTTTTGAATAGCACTGGGATGATCGGTTTCTCAGAGGCCTGGTAGAGTTTCCTTGTGAACTTGAAGGAGAGGGAGCAGACAGTAGCTCTTTAACCGGCTTCTCTGTTTCAGTAATAAATGTTCTTTTAGGGAAAGAAAGCAGCTAAGTGTTGTAGTACTGTCTGGGTGGTATTATTAGTGACTTCTATCGACTTCTTCAATGTGAGGTATCTGCAGTGCACATAAAACCGCTTCTGTGATCAGAAAGCTGCTGAGCCAGAAAAAACTAGAGAGTCTGGCAAAATCTAAACAGTTCGATAATTTTCTAAGATAGGATGTTCTGAACACTAGTTTTACCACACAGGAACAAAAGCAGTGAAGTAAATATTCCAAGGAACATGAAAACACTTTCATCTTTCCCTTCTGCTAAAATTTTGCTAACATGCTTTTACTATAGGTTGACTTTTCTAAAAGCACCATAAAAAAGAAAAAAGTATAAATTACCAAATAGACCCAAGATTTAAGATACCTTTGCAACCTAATTAGAAAATATGGCAAATTAAATGGTACTTATTTCACATGAACCAGAATTTGAATTGATGAATTCAATACAGTCACTTACTGTATGTGAAGTAATTGAAGACTGGTCCGAAAAAACCATCCTGCGAAGCCTCATCCTTGAGAGGCAACAGCAAAGGCTCTAATTCTTCCAGGGTATAGAGTCCAGGAACTTCACCTACGGAACACGGCACTTCTCGTGAGTTTTAGCTGCATCACCCCAGCTGAAACACACTTTACATCCACAAAACTTGTTCTATTTTTGTATCAGTCTGCTCTTATTCAGGCTGTTTCCAAAAATACATAACCCTATCACCTCTCTGTTACTCACAAATCTCCCTCTGTTGCCTTCATTTGATAAAACTCAAACTCCTGAGCAAGCCGTTTGAGACAGTGGACCATCTAGCTGTCCACCTGTCTTTGCGGGTTCTTCTCCACCCCTCCCATACGAGACCTTGTATTCTAGCCTCAGTGAACGTCTTTGTGTCCCATAAATATAATGAAATACTCCCTCTTCCTGGAATTTATATGCACAGCCTTCCCCTGGCCTTTACCTTCCCCCCCAAATTACCATGTGCCCCAGGAGACACTGCTGTGCTGACTTCCCGGGTGCTGGGGAGAGCACTCTTTCTCTCTCCCACATCTAAACATGTCACTGTTCAGCATGTATCACATCACGTAACCATGAATGAAGTATTTTTCCTTTCCTGCTCAATTAGATTCTGAATTCCCAAAGGACAAATTTGATCATGTTCAATATTAACCTTAGAACATCCTTAGCAAAGTATCTGGAACATAAATATTTATTAGATGAATGAACGAATGAATGAATGGAAACCTGTACTAGAAATCAGAACTAGTCCAGGGCCTGCTACAAGGCAACAGAATGGTGAAAGGCAAATCACACTGGATTAAGACCACAAGTGTAACTAGGTCTTATTTACAACTATGAGTCCAGTATTTAGAACTGGGCCTGGCACATAACAGGTATTAATAAACATTTATTAAGCCAATATACTTAAAGTTTGCAAGAACCAGTAAGATTAAGTAAAAACCCTTTTGCCGAGCATCCAAGGCAGTGCATTCACACAGGGCCCATCACAGCCTCATCCCTACTTTCCCTCAGGCCCAACTCAGAGGTGCCGGACCACGTCTCGTCTGCCAAGCTTGTACATACCCAAACACACACACACAGAAATCTGCTCTGTCTTTCAATTTCAGCCATAACAAGACACTTTTTTTTTTTTTTAAGATTTTATTTTTTTATTTATTTGACAGACGGAGACACAGCAAGACAGGGAACACAAGCAGGGGGAGTGGGAGAGGGAGAAGCAGGCTTCCCGCAGAGCAGGGAGCCTGATGCGGGGCTGGATCCCTGGACCCTGGGATCACGACCTGAGCCGAAGGCAGACGCTTAACCCACTGAGCCACCCAGGCGCCCCAACAAGACACTTTCGATTCCTTAAATGTAGCAAAGAAACCTAGCTCTAGGTACATACTATCCACTACAGCAAATAAGAATTTGAAACGGAAAAACAAGACAAAGGCCTATTTTCTCTGAAAGTATTTTTCAAATACTTTTTTGCTAAAAATGTTGGTAAAATTTAACTTACGATTTTTGAAGTTACAACTTGCTAATAAAGACCAATTTATCTTAAGGTAAAAAGGTAAAAACAATAATCACTGCATTAATGCTTAGGTGGATGCTTGCTTTCACAAAACAAAACGAGGATCCTAGCACAAAGCTGTCTCTCTGCTGGACCAGTTTCAGCCGTAAGGAACAGGCCTCCACCTAGTGACGACTGAAGCAAGATGCAGGGACACACACCGTACACATGGACAGGAGTGGTCCTGTGAGCAGGTCCCGAGCCCCAGCAGCCCCACTCCAGCACCTGCCTCTGCAGGACTTGGGCCGGAGACTGGCCTGCTGACTGCCTAACCAGCGTCCCCGCCTGCAGTCACGTGAACACCAAATGTAGACACTTCCTATTCTAAGTCACACGTGTTCCTCGACCAGAGCTGTGACATTCTGAAGAGAAGACTATTTCATTTCAGAGCCCACCTAACATGACACAAAACAAGCATTTACTAAACACGGGGTCCGACAGGCACATCATGGAAACTAGCTTTTAACAAGGTTTACTCTGTACTTAAATAACAAAACAATCTTGGTCCAAGTTTAAAACTAAGCTACCTCCTACCAATTCTAACAGTGACGACTCAAAGAGATTCGAATAAATGTCACAAATTCTTCAGAAAAGGAAGACATATAGGAAATTGCAGGTATCCTCTCCAGAAAACCATGAAAACAGTCAGGTGACTCAAGAGACAACAAGAGCATACCGCGATCTGGGAAACATGGACCTCAGATACTGAGAATATATCTGTATTTACATATCCATGTTAAGGCCATTATTCAACTATTCCACTAACGATGGACAGTGAGGTTCCATCACATTTTTATTATGAATTATACTATGCATTTCCCTGCATGCTAAATCCACTATTTCTGTAGGTGAAATTCCTACACGTAATAGAGCTGCTCTATTAAAGGGTATGGCACATTTTTTTTAAACAACACTGACTGATAACTTTCCCAAAAGACTGTAACAGATAATGGTCCCACCAAAAGCATATGAAAGGGCTAGTTTTTCAGGACATTCACCAACATTAATCATTTTGGGGGAACGCCTGGGTGGCTCAGTCAGTTAAGCGTCTGCCTTCGGCTCAGGTCATGATCCCGGGGTCCTGGGGTTGAGCCCCGTGTCGGGCTCCCTGCTCAGCCTGCTTGTTTCCCTCTCCCTCTGCTGCTCCCCCTGCTCGTGCTCTCTCCCTCCCTCTCAAATAAATAAATAAAATCTTTAAAAAATAATAATAATAATCATGCTTACGTAATTCTTCCATCTCCTGATTTTATAAAAATGGGCTTTCTCAATTCTCCAGCTCCAAGCATGCTTAATCCCAGGACCCCTGAGTAAAACCCATACCACACATGCTCTGAAACACAATTTTACACAAGGTAACATTATTACTTTTCTTTTCTTTGAAGAGAAATCATTCACTTGCCTGAAGACAAAAGGCTATTGATCATCTCCAGAAACGCAGGATGCACGAACTGGTAATCCTCGAGAAGCAGAACCACCTGCTGGGCTTCAATCCCTGCAAGATGCAGCACCTGCGCGGAAAGTGACAACAGAGGTCTTCGCACCCATTACAGGTGTGGGGCCCAGTTAAAAACCGCCATTCTTCACGCAAATAACGTCTTTCTTTTCTCCTTTTTCTCTCTTTCTTTCTTTGTAATCAAAATTAAATATCAAACTTCAGCCATATAGTTTGGAAGGTAAATCCAGTCCATGAACAAACAGTTGGGGAAATGTTAATATGATTTCACAGCGAAGACAGACGATCATTTTTAAATACACCCACCTGTGTCCTATATAAATTCTGTCCTTTTATCTTCCATGTCCACCTAGCCTCTCTGTACATAAAAATATAATTTTCTAATAACCACGGGGAAAATCATCATCCATATTAAAGACTACGATGTATATCAGAGACATAATGGTCTCTGAAGGCTTTTAGAATAACAAGTAATTGTGCTTTAAAACCAAATAAAGCAAAGGATTTGAGTAACTCACGTGTTTGAGATCATTTTTGAACTGCTTCAGTTCATAGCCTCTGGAAATCTTTGGAGAAAACAGCACGGCTCCATGCATATGACTGACCAGGGAAGTAATGGTCCGCCGGCCCACGCCACTCCGTCCTGCCAGGAGGAGGGAGCCTCCAGGGAAGCTCAGCACCCTGTCGATCCGAGACATATACTCCAGCACTTCTTGGAAAAGTAAAATATCTAAATTCTGGCTATCTCGTCCATAGTGAATGAGGCCCTTTTAAAAAACCACAAAGAATATTTTATCATTAATATATGCCCCATTACATAACATACATGTTATCTAGAGGAAGGCTTACACTTCTGATACACTCTGGAAAAGGGGCTAAGTGGCAGTGTGTCATCTTATGCTCCACGGCCTCCCAGCAATCCAGCTCTTCTACGAAAAACCTTGTGTGATACCAAACACGTTCAAGAGCTCATAGTCATCAGATACCTGCGGGACACTGCTGATACGACGGGTAAAATGTAGGGAGACACAGCAGGCTAATTACAAGAACTTCAAAGACTCTCAAATTTTACTCGTCGTTTCAACTCAGATCAATGTGTGCAGACCGTAACACCTAATGTTGTGAACTCTTGCTGGTGTGCACCGCAGGGGAATGAATCCAAAGCCCTCGTGCGGGCCGCCCCACCAGCAACTGTGTGTCAGCGTGAGGGACACCAGACGCTGCAGCCTTAACAACTTCCAACACACCCAGACTCGGCAGCATCCATCCCACGCACCACACGAGCTTTTCTGGATATAAAATCCACACTCACTTCCAAAGCAAATCATCATACATATAACACTGTTTCTCCTTCTTACACTGTCTAATTTCACAAAGAAGAAAGAACTAGACACATCTCTAGTAGAGTGCGCCTCAGTTTCAGTGAACCCGTGCACCACCACCACCTGGGAGCCCGGGAGAAATGGGGAATGAGACTTCCTCAGGCTGTGACCCAGGAGGCAGCGTATTTCCTGGTTCTCAAAGTGATTCTAATGCTCGCTGAACTTGGACACCACTGCTCTAGGATGATTTTCCAATTAATATTAAACCTCATTAGTAATTCCAACATCAGATACATTTTGCCAACATGTACCTTGGCCATCTTACCCATATCTGTGTGAGTACGGGAGCATTTAGTCAGATCTACCACAACAGACCACACTCCACAAGAACCAGCTCGGTCTATTGTATAATCTTTGTTTGCCTCGGAAAGCTTACAACAATTATTTCTTAAATGACTACAATCATAACCAAATCCCAATTCAAACTCATGATTCAGATTATACCTTCCTCTTTTTTTTAAAGATTTATTTATCTGAGAGAGCATGCACACACGTGAGATCACACATGCACGCGCGAAGGGGGAGGGGGGCGAGGGGGGCAGAAGGAGAAGCAGACTCCCCGCTGAGCAGGGAGCCCGACTCGGGACTTGATCCCAGGACCCTGAGCTGAAGGCAGACGCCCAACCGACTGAGACACCCAGGCGTCCCAAGATTATACCTTTCTAATAACATCCTTGAGATCCGCAGAGTTCAGTTTTCCGAGCGGTTTCCCATGGGGAGGCAGTGGCTGTCCTGGGGCCCCCCTTATTCCTGAGTTGTGTCGGGCTCCCCATGTAACATAGAAACTGTCTGCAGAAATGAAAGGTATTTTGGCTTTATACGTGTATTGGCAATGGCAACACCAGGAAGTACACTGTTCGTTAAATTATTTTTCAGTTAATCCTCCGAATAAGGTCATCCCCAGAAACGCGGAAGTAAATTACAGTGTGCCCGGGGAGACGATAAAATCAGCTAAGATACAAAGACCTTACACTGCCATGTCAAACTTTCCCCGAAGAGTAGCTGATGTGTCCCCACTCCAGCCCTGACCCCCACCTCTCTCTCCTCAAACGGAGGGTCCTCCTGAGTGCTCCCCACTACTCTCCCTTGTGCTCTTTCTCCCTACTTCCCTCCCCTCCTCCACAATCTCCATATAAAACTGGCAACTAAAACAAACTCAAAACTCTCCTTGAGAAAGAACACAGATTTATAAACACCATCAAGAGCCCTAATTCTAAAATAAAGGAAAAGGGAACTGAATTTTAATTAGAAAACAAAAACCCCACCACTTCCGTTATAGTTATCCCCAGCAGCATCCTGTGACCACACAAGGAAAATCTGTTGACCGTTCTGCTGAACCTTTCCCTCCTGATCCGTTGGGGAGGGTGCTCCATAAAGTACCCTCCTTCTCATGTGCTCCACTCAATGGCAGTTTTAGCTTCCCTGGACCCCAGCTCCTTCACGTTCTTCTCCTTTCCCTCATCACTGCTTTTCCTACACTATCCTCTCCCTGCAGAAACCTCTATAATCAAACTCTTACTTGGGAACAAGGCTGCCATAACCTCCAAGCCCAAATCCCCGTCGTAGTCTCTGCCCCCGTCATGACCTGGTGTGCGTTTGAGGCGTTTTCCTTAGATCTGTTGATCCTGATACTCAACAACGCACAACCACCAGTCCTCTCAGTTCTCTGCGTATCCCTTCTACTCTTATTTTCCCTGGGATCTAAATTCAGTCCCTTATTCTTTAATCCTAAACACTCCCCTTGAATTATTTAACCTTATTCTGTGGATTAGATTATCAACTACTGATATACCAAAACCCAGTCACCTATTGGCAAGTCTCCCGAGCTCTACTCTGGTCCCACACTTCCAACTGCTTAACGGACATGTAACAAACATACAATGTTCGTCACTAAACACAGGTGTTTAAGCACCGCACTTCCCGTTAGAGAGAAGCAGTAAGACAGACGCGACTGCTACCCTCACAGAGCTGATAAACCTGATGCACGTGCCCCAAGAGACACTCAAAGAGCCTGCAAACAATGAAACATGTAGAGGACTGAACTCACTGTCTCCCCATGTCATCAGGTGTCACCTCAGCTACCACAGGATCTCCCGGCTTGTGTCCTGCCATATGTCTCTGGCCATCCAGTACATCCTCACTAGCTCTCCCAGGGGAGCACATGGAAGAACTGCACAGCGCCGTACCGCTCCCGTGGGGCCCGGAAAAGCAGCCAAACCCATCGAGGCCCCCGGACCTGGCTCCACTGCACGATTCTCCTTCTCTGCCCTGCGCTGTGCACGCCAGCTTCCTCATGCCTCTGAACCTACGCGGAGTCTTTCCCCTCGCCACGCAGCACCGTCATCCTTTAACATGATCTGACTCTCGTATCACTCAAAAAATTTTAAATCTTAGTTGTTCCTCTAACAAAATATGTACAGAACTTATGTGCTGAAAACTACACAACACTGATGAAAGAAAGCAAAGAATATCTAAACAAATGGACAGATATATCATGTTCACAGACTGGAAGACTCAACATAATGAAGATGTCAATTCTCCCCAAACCAAGATACAGAGTTAATGCAATTCCTATCCAAAGCTTAGCAACATTACTTATAGATAAGATTATTCTAAAATATAAAGAGAAAGGTAAAGAACTTAAATAGCGAAAACAACTGTAAAAAAGAAGACAGCAGGAGAAGTCAGTCTACCCAATTTCAAGATTTCTAAACTAATGAAAACAGGTGGTGCTGGTGGGAGGACAGACATGTAATGGATGTAACAGGACGGAGAACCAAGAGATATGTTCACACAACTATTCTGACAAAGTGCAAAGCAACTCGAGGAAGAAAAGTTCCCTTTGCAGTAAACAGTGCCGGAGCAAGTGGTCATCCGTCAGCAAAGAAGGTGACCCGAGGCCTCACTCTTCACACAGACATTAACTCAAAGTGGACCACTGACTTAAAACAAAACCATAAAACTTTTCAGAAAAAAACACAGGAGAAAATCTTTAAGAACTAGGACCAAACAGAGTTCTGAAACTTGACACCAAAAGATCCTGAAAAAAAATTACTAAGTTGTACTTGATAAAATTGAAATATTTAGCTGTGGGAGACCCTATTAAAAGGATGGAAAGACAAGCGAAAGAGCGGGAGAATATGTTTGCAAACCTCATATTTAACAAAAAACTAGCATCCGTAATATATAAAGAACTCTCAAAACTCATTAATAAAAGAAGATAAACCATCCAATTAGAAAATGAGCAAGTCACAGAAAGAGATACCTCACTTCAAAGGATTCAGAGACAGCACGTGAGCACATGAAAGATGCTCGAGCGCATCTGCTGTTGGCAGAATGCAAATTAAAGCCACAGTGATGTACCCACACGCACTCACGACAGTGGCTAAAATAAAACAGCATGACAAAAGCAAAGGCAAGTGTGCGGAGCACCTGGGTTACTCACATGTTGCTGACGGGAGTGTAAAATGATACAGCCGTTCTGGAAAAGAGCAGGGCAGTGTGCTTCACAAACCAAGCACAAGAGCACCATACGCCCCGGCAACTGCACTCCTGAGCACTTATCCCAGAAAAACAAAAGTGCATGTTCACACAAACATCTCTACACGAACTGCTTATAGCAGCTTTCGTCCTAATAGTCAAAAACAGAAAATAACCCAGACGCCCTTCAACAGGTAAATGGTTCAAGAAACGGTAGTACATCTAAATACCCACTCATCAATAGAAAGGAACAAAGTACTGAGACTCACAGCAACCTGTGTGTGTGTGAAAATAAGATTCTCGAAATGGCAAATGAAATACAGAAGAGGCTAGCGGTTTCCAGAGGCGTGGATATGGCTACAGCAGGGCAGCAGGACAGATAACTCTGAGTCTTAACTGTATCAATGTCAATACCCTGGTTGTGATGCTCCACCATAATTTTGCCATATGTTACCATCAAGAGAAACCAAGTAAAAGCTACACATACTCTGTATGAACTCTTACAATTGTATGTTAATGTGCAATTATCACAAAATAAATTCATTTTTTTATTTCAAGGTTTCAAAGTAACTCCCTCAAAAAAAATTAACCCTTCTACACACTACTATCTAGCATTTATCCCAAATATATTCAGAAGTTATACTAATTGTAAAACACTTCATGTTCTATTATAATTATCAGTTTAACCATCTACTTGCACAAATTTCGTGGCTTCTAAACACACTAACAATAGTTACCACTGTAAGGGCTTTCATATCTGTATCTGCCACTGGATTACACGTTTCTTGAGCACAAGAATGTATCTAGCTTATTTCCAAGTCTTCCAAGATTACATTTTTCTTAACAAATTAATATTCCACTATGTGAAAATCCTACTTGCCGAGATACGACATTTATCAAGCCTGTATTTTTAAAAAATGCAACCTTTCCTTGAAAAGTAAAAACGGTGAGGGGGAAAAAAGCATGTATTCTTTATTGAGTCCTACAAAGGAGACCCTGAAAGATAACAAATTCTAGAGAATTCAGATACCCAATAAGACACTGCTACTGTCTAATGCCCAAAGAACATGCTACCTTCTTTGCAAGAAGAGATACCATTCAGGCAATTCTCAGTCTGAGAAAGATGGTGCCATTTAAGAAACGAAACCTGCCCCCACTAAGCAAGGAGAGCTACAGGTCACGCTAACAAAGCCTCACTCAGAATGAGCCAACTCTGAGCTGCGACCAGGGCTCGCTCTCGCCTTTCATCCTGCCCCGGCTTCTCCAACTCATTTCCTGATTCTGAAACTCAAGCCGCACCTCGAAAATCCCTCTGCCAACCTCCTCATCTTCCTCATCTTCGAAATCCCCTTCGGCCTATGCAGTTACGACCGGGGGGCAATACCGAATCTGGCAGGACACAGAACGCGCTACATGGAATATTTCTAGCTTTACAGTCTAACCGGACAGAACCTCAATCTGTAGCTTGAAAGCGGTTAAGAAATACTTCCACAATATGGTCTTGTATCAAAGGTCCTTCCGCCACGACAGTTTTCAGACAGTTTTCAGATCACACGCACTACTCCCACAGCAGTTTTCAAAATGCAAGTTGGTTGTTAAGTGGTAACAGTTGCAAATGCAACTGAGCTGCTTTGAGTGAGTGGTGTTACGCTTTATTTATCCTAACTGTGGGTGAAGCTGGAGACAAGAGTACATAAGAAGTTCTGTGCTGATGACATGATTTACTTCTAAGCAAAAGTTAATTATAATCAAATATGGATTTTCCCAATGATCTTTAAGTCTCATACACATACGGCTTTAAATAAAACCTTTATTAATAAAAATCCCTCAGGAAACCTAATTTTGAATTGCAGATATAAAACACTATGGCCTGAATCCAAGAAAACAATTACTGTCACTATATTTTATTTGTATTTATTTAGAAATCTAGCAAAAAGGAAAAAGCGGCCCCTTACAGTAAAAACAACATTAAAATTACCCAAACGTTTTATTTACACAGAAATACGAAATCATGCTATTAGCAAGAAAAGTTTACAATTCTTGTAACATTTATTTATTACATAAACTCCTTAAGTATATTACCTGCCATATTGTCTAATATATCTGAGCCCCAATCTCCTTGAAACACAGATGTTAAAATGCTGTCAAATAAATGAAGTTCCTTGGCACCAACAATTTTGTCACGAAATAAGCGCTGTGCTTCATAAACTACGATTTCTAATACATGATCTAGTGGGTGATTTGAGGATCCTAAAAAAGACAACATTTTCTTTAGTTGTAATAAAATTCAAATGACTTGCAGATGGTCTATCTCAACATAATACTAGAAAGAAAGAGAGAATAAAAATCTGCATACCGTCAGGTTGGCGTCAGATAAGTACAAGAAAAGGGAAAAAAGGTAAAATTCAATGTGTTATTGATAAGTTGTTTTGATTATTTAAAGAATATATTAAGCATCATTATATCTAGTTGTTCAATAAAAATACTAATTCCAAAAAGCATATTAAACATCACTAACAATTTTATTTTTCCCCAAATCAAATTTTACCAGCGACAATCATAAACAGTTTAGAACACGCACATACACACACACAGATGCACTATGGCATTCCAAAGAAAGAAAAGCAATTTGAAATCATAAAAGTAAAACTTACCTCCTTCTAAATCATATCTGAATAAGCCAAGAACCCACTGGGTAAGGATGCAAGGAGTAAAGAAATAGTGACTATGATCATCAACTGTAAATTTGGCCCGCACCTGGAAAAGAAAATAAAGTCAACTGTCTGTTCTCATTTTCTAAATACATAATATACATTTTATTTATAACGTATTTCCAGATATATAATGCTATAAATTTTTCAGTCACCACACTCACAGGAATGCCCAATTTCTACTAGTGAGAAGAAACTATATTTCATTAGAACTGATTTCCTTAGTTATCTCATACATTATATCTTACCCATTTAAAAACATTCTCTAAGAGGGGTATTTATAGGCTTCAACAAACTGCCAAATGTTGTCCAAGAAAAAATAAAAGGTTAAAAAGCCCTGCTGAGCAGAGGAACTCAAGGAAGGTGAAGCTAAGCTTTACACACAGTGGTTGCAATTCCAAGGCGCTCCCGGGTCCGGGAGCCACAGAGCTGTCTCATGTTCAAACAGTCACCGATCCCGAACGGATCAAAGTGCGACTCCTGATACATGACCCGTGAGAGCCTGTGCCTTCCTCCTCATGGACAGGACCCACTGCTCTCACTCCGGCCTTGATCACTGAGCTTCCGAATTCATTTAGAAAGTAATCAATGCTTTCTAACTTCTCTTGCCCCACATCTACTCCAACACTGCCAAAAGCATCTTCCACAACTACTTCCCTAACTTTCGCATGCTGTCCCCTTTACCTCGGAAGATCTTCTTTCATCTCCAGCCACTTTGGGAATTTCTATTAATTGTTCAAAACTCACATCACATTTCAGGGCGCCTGGGTGGCTCAGTCGGTTGATTTCTTGATTTTGGCTCAGGTCGTGATCTCAGGGTCATGAGATTGAGTCCCACATCGGGCTCCCTGCTCAGCAGGGAGTCTGCTTCTCCCTCTG